GAATGACTATGACCTGGATGACTGAGAACCTTCATCAGCAGACTGGGATTCAAAGCTGGGGGTTCGTTCCCTCCGATCATGCTACATTGGCATTGAGGTTCCCAAGAAGAATGATGAATGGCACCCCCACCGGGGATGCTAAGAGGCCTGTATTACATAATGTCTCTCAACCCATTGGTCGGGACAACAATCAGAGGCCCCCCCAGCAGAAGGTGCTGGGATGTGACCTTCTAGTCCACCGGGGTGAATTCCAGAGGACGCCTTAGCGAGGGTGAACAAGTTAACCCACTGCTGGCAACTCAAGAGTAGAAAAGAGTCCAGCCTCTTTTGAGGAGCTTGGTTCCAGGGCCCAGGCTCTGCATGGATGTGAGTCTGACTATTTCTAGCGTTGTTCCGCCTCCAAAAAGATTTTTTTTGCTGATGCATAAACTTGGTAGAAATACAACCCAACCAACCTGTTGCCTTTCAGAGTTACCATTCAGGTGAACTGAACGGATTTGTACTGTATGCCAAACCTTAATAATATTTCTCTTTTTCTTTTAAATAATTTTAAGAAATTACACAACTTTTCCCTTCCACTTTACACTTCTGAAAAGCACAATATCTGAAAGTTGATGGCACATTTTCCTGAACCTCTAGTTCCTTTATAATTGAGAAACAATGTTAAATCATGTGACTGTTTCATGTAGTGCTAATTTTAGAGCCATAACATTTTAGCTCTCCTAGTTTACTTCCTCCTCTTGCCTCATAAAGATTTTAAATGTGCCCACAGGATGAAAAACTGGAGCAAAAAACACAAGAGACAAGAAAATGGGGATGAAAATGGGTCTTCGTCTCACAACCAGAGCTCAGTCGGTGATCCGGCAGTGCCTGTGTGGGTCACTCACACCCCCCCACCAAACAGTGGGACAGATGACAGCGATGGAGATGGCATGTCCAACTCTACGTCCTTTACTGAGAAGGAGAGCAGTGAGAACAACAGCAACACCAAGAGCAGACTGAGATCTCTCCTACCAAAATCACTGAGCGGGATAATCCGCAAGCACACGGGTGGAAGTGACTATGAAACCACCACAACTGGGATCCAGATTCTTCCTAATGGGACAAGGGTGAGCCCTCCTGTGAGTCCCTTTCTGGAGCGCAGGAACTGGGACCAATCATCCGGAAACTCTGCCAAAGAGTCCTGCAAGTCTTTGCTGAGGCAAACCCCTCCAGATGAATCTTTTTATACAGGAATACAACAAGAGTCTCTGCTGACCAGCATCCACCCTGCAGAGCATTATGCCGCCAAGGTAGAGGTTTACCAGAAGAAGTACTCCTATTTGAAATCATGGCCCGGTTTATTGAGGCTCCTGGCTGGGCTGCAGCTCCTCTTTGGTGGTATGGTGTTGGCATGTGTCATAGCCTACATCCAGAAAGACAGCGAGTGGTACAACACGTATGGTGTCTACAACGGAATAAACAACAACGGACTTGGTCTGTCTGGGTACAGTTACAGAGGGCCTATGACTCCCTTTGTTTTAGCTGTAGCCGGAGTTTCCTGGATCATTACTCTGAGTCTCCTGGTGATGGGGATGACGATGTATTACCGAACAATCCTCCTCGACTCATCCTGGTGGCCCCTGACTGAGGCGTTCATCAACGTGGCTCTGTTCCTGCTTTACATGGCAGGAGGGATCGTATATATAAACGACTTGAATCGAGGGGGGCTGTGCTTCATGACGATCGGGGTCAACCCCATCATGGCCAATCTGTGTCGGGTCGACGGAGGCCAAATGGCTGGGACAGCGTTTATCTTCATTAACATGACGATGTACCTGGGGAGTTTCCTGGTGAGTCTTAAGATGTGGAGGCATGAAGCTGTTCGGAAGGTCAGGCGGGAGTTTGAGGAGCAGGTAAGGCCTGCAGACTATAAAGTGAATCTTGTTCCATTGTTGTTGAAAGCATAAAATGAATAAAATGCAATCCAGAATGAAACTATGAAAAACTTTTTTTTATAAAACGTTGCCATTTTCTTTGGCAGATTTTTTTTAAATTGATACCTTTTATTTATTTTTTTACAAAAAAAAATAACTAATTTTGAGGTTTTCAAATTGCATTTTCCAGATCTTTACTTCAGGGGTTCCTCTGGAGGGAGGAATGAAGACACATTTCTTTCTGTTCTATTAGTGACACCATAATTTAATTGCTAGTAACAATAAAGGAACAAAATTTACTCTATGAAGACCCCTTCCTGCTTTAAAATTATTCAAATTTATCGATCGCTTTAATATGAGGCATTTTTTGTTTTCCACTTCCTTGCTTTCCTATCAATCAAATATTTCCTATCAATTGTAATATAAATCATCAGCTTTGAAAAAAATTTATTATACTGAATCTGTTCCTTAGAATTATAAATTTATGTAATTCCCTCATTTTTTTTTTTTTTTGCATTAATAATTATAAGCAGCTAATGAACACAGTTGTAGATAATTATTTCGTACTCTCTTTTTCAGGGTGGAATTATCATAATCAAACATTTTGTTCCGACATATAAATGAAGAATTTGGTGCTTGAAATTAAATCTGCTGTGGATTTACTCCAATCCACAGCAGATAAAGTTAAAAGTGGTGGATCTGAAAAAAACGTAACAGTTGTAGGTGTGAAAGGAAACCACCTGGCCTCTATGTCCCAAATCTTTGTTTTGCACATCAAAATCAAAGGACAGACCAAAGGGTTCAGATTTTACTACTATTTGGTGGCTATTTGATTAGCATCTGACTTACAGGGTTCGTACACATTTTCCAAAGTCAAAATCAAGGCTTTAGCGGGCCGCCTCGCCAAGATAGTGCTGCGGGAAACACTGCAACACTAACATTACATTATCACACCGTACTCTCAGTCACTCAGTAACTTAGCCTGTGAATTCCTAGCTAGCAGTTACTAGCGTAAACAAATAGGCGCTAACGTTGACGTGTACTAGGCTACTTCAGTTAGCTTACGTAAAAGTCTATTACTTACTCTTCACCCCTTGCTCACACTGGCTCCGGTGCAGT